TATTCATGAACAATCATGTATTCTAAAATAAATTTTATATTGTTTAATTTATTTTATCAAAAGATATTTTCATCTAATTGTTGTACTTAGCGAATTGTATTATTATATGCCTCAAAATATACAATTGCAACGGCGATATCAAAAACAGTTTGTAAGTGTAGTATTACAGAGACGGATACAACTTGTTCGCAAACATGACGGGTAGAAACTGCGCTTTTTGGTTAGAAGTGCAAAAGGTTGTGCTTTTCCTCTTCCCTTCCTCCCTTAGTCAATCTACCAACTGATCTACTGTCACATGCATTTGCTCCCTAAAATGAAAAGGTATTCTTGAAATTTTTGGAAAAGCCGAGATCCAGTCACACTGACTCCCTTAGCAGATTCCTTAGAAGAGCCCTTGTTTAGCAGAGTAGCTTTTGAGAAGAGTAAGGTATTGTAATTGACGGCACGACTCACATTTTCTATAACTTCTATGGAGTGGTTCTTGACATTGCCGTTCTTGAGAGGGCGGCTTTTGAATTAAAGTGCATGGAATCATACATCCCTTCATCAACAGTTCCAAACGAGGATAAGATAATTAAATACGGCAAATTAGAGATGTCTGGTATTAAAAAGTATATTTTGCTAAAGATCGTTTCGATCACGTAGCGATCATCCTCAGAGCTTTGAGATTTCGGCCGAAAATAAGGTTTTGCGGGTTTTAGAGAGTGTGTGACACACTGTTTTCGGCCCGGATCTTTAGCAGAATATATTTTTTGATAGCAGACATCTTTAATTTACCATATTTAATTATTACAAGGTATCTACCTCACCAGCGATGTAATTAATGAGAATAAGATACTTTAGAATATTTAAACCATACCGCTCGACTGATTAGTGCTTCCAGGCGCGTCAACAGAGAAGGTTATTGGTCCTGTAAGTATAGTGCATGTTTTCATTCAGATGATCTTACCGCGATCTTACCCGCTTGTTGGCGAGATCCGACCCCGACCGTCGGCTTGCGGGGAGTTTCCCACCAGCGGGGCACCGCTCCAGCCGGGACGAACTCTTAGCTCCCGACTGCTATTCCCACAAGTATGGTTGTGTAGTGCATGTTATTGTGGGGGGTATTTAAGGGGAAGTAAAGTCTGCGAGCGGTCCGTATTCCGTTTGCTAGGGTCCGTCTGCTCCGGCATTCGCCTGGTTTTGATCGGAGAAACCATGAAAAACTACCATTGGAGCAGCTGGCCCCTAGAATGCTTCTTCAGACAGAGGCTGAATGAACCGTATCACCTACTACAGGTAACGAAATCCGCCTCTTAGGCATCTATCTTTCGTGCAAATCTTCCCTTTACATGGCTCCCCATTTCAGATGGGTTGTAAGAGAAAAACACACTCGCACTTAGCGAATGATAACTACGAGTTCATAGGCGAATAACCTTAATCAACGTTCGCCTATCTTCACCGACACATTTCGCCTATATCCGTCTCTTATTTGCATTCTATTTTATTGTTTATTTCAAAATGACTGACTTTCCTTTCGGGTCATTTCTACTTTCATCGCTACCTACTAGCTTATTTTATTCTCAACTAGCTGATATGTTCAAATATTCGCTTTCAAACAATGGAGTTTAATCAGAATTAATTTTCATTCCCAAAATAAATGTGAAAACTTGCCATTATTATCATCATTAACTGTAACAATGTAGCCATTAATTTACTTCATTCGTTATACAATTTCATTAATATTTCTTAAGATTTGAACAAGGTCCTTTCCGAAAGGGTTCTTTGCCACTCGCGTCAGTCGTTTGGTTAGATTGTATCTGCAAATTTACTTCAGTTCTTAGACTTCTAAATATAAAAAATGAGTGTACCTTGCACTTTATTTATTGAATATAAATTAGTAATTTAAACAAACATAAAATTTAACTTTGAAAAAAATGATAATTTCATCTCACCTTTGAGAAGAACATCTCCCTGCAGGCGAGTCGGAACTGACTGTTGAGCAGCCAGTAGAGGAAGGGGTTCCAGAAGCTGTTGCTCAGCGCCAGCCACGTCGCCAGGAAGTCCAGGAATGGCGGCACCTGCGACATCCAAATCGAAATTCGATTCCCGGCGCTCTCGACCTCTCGTCGGCCTATAAACTTAATGTAATAAAAGACGTCAAATGTATATAAAATTGGATGACGAGTATTATGAGTTGGTGAAATGTGTTGTGCTTCCATTTGTAATAAAAGTGCTTGACAGACTAAAGGGGGTTTCTTCCTTGCCTTTGTTTATGGAAGAAAATATAGTTTCATCTTTTAGGACTTATTATTAGATCATTATTATTGAAATCTTAGTGATAGATTCGTCATTCAACAATTATCGCAGGTTTTTAAAAAAATCGAAAGTATTGTTATACCTATATGATTAATTACCATAAAATCGTTGTGTAGCTGCTGACAGAACAAACTCAATCACAAACGGTTTTTTATGTCCGTCAAGTAAGTTAAACATAAGCATTACACTTTTTGCGACTCTTGACAATAAGATAACTTACTCTACCACAAGGATATAAGCATTATTTCAATATATAAATCAAGTGATTTCTCAAAATACCCTATATCACTTATATTTTAAAATTTAAAAAATTCTTAAATTAATACCAACAGCCATAGTATATACTGTAAATTAATGCGAAGAGATACACGATTTACTAACGCAAGCAAATTGAAAACAAGAAAGTCAAAGACAATTACTTTCCACACTTCTCTGACAGACGAAAACGCACTTTCCGGTATCAGAAATTCCGAAGTCGTGCATTGGATATCACAATAAACGCTACATTACTCGCGGCATTGCATCCCTGTCCATTTTTACATATACAAGAAAATAAAATATAATCCTAATCCTATAAAAATACAGAAACAATTCCTGTGCCCTCGTTATCCATAACAAGGTAGTGCCGAGTCTACAATCGCTGAAATCGGGAATATAAACTAAAACTTCTTACTTTTGAGCCGATGCATGTGGCCATTACCTTCTGAATAGTCCTTGGCGTCACCAGGACGATAAATTCAAGAGCACCATGGTGCTGCGGCTAAGGCTAGGGTCGTTGAGAGTTTGAGTGCAAATATAAGAAGCGCTCACCTTGGACCCCGTGCACGCAGCCACCACCTCCTGGATGGTCCACGGCGTCACCATGACGATGAAGCCCAAGGAAATGGCCGCCATTGTGCGTGATGTGTTCGTGCTAAGACGACGCTCCGCTGCTACCAGCTGTGCACACAGACATTTTTAGTTAAACATCCATTAACGGGAAGCTACGAACAATTAACTTCTACTTATAATTTATTCTTGGTTGTGACTGACAGGGAGATTGATTCACTGCGTGTTTCATAATATCTAAAGATGGCTCTTCCCGACTGTATTGCGTTATTAACAGTTATTTTTAATAAATACTGCGATTGTTTCAATAATGTTTGTAATATACTCTCTATAAAATCTCATTAGACATTTTCGTTCTAGTTGGTTCAATCAATTTCAAAGCTTTTACAAGCAGATGGATCATAGCATTTAGAAACATAGCATTCACTTTGATGACCGGCTATCAATTTGGATTGATGACCTTTGATAAGACGATGAATATTTGCTAGCTCCTACAGGTTATCGTACCAAATTTCATGACAAAGGGTACAAATGTTAATTCCAAGGTACAACAAAAGACAGCCCTGGGGTTATGTGGAACATAGTGAAACCTATGCTGCATCTGTTGCAATAAGGGGTTTTACAGGAAGTTGGATATTCTTTACGATATTAAAACTGTTTCTAGATGAGTGTCGTAATAAGGAAATAAGCATGTCTGTAAAATTAGGTTTTCTTAAAATACGGTTCTCAAAAGCCATAAAGTATCACAAACAATCTACTCTGAGTACAGATTACTCAAGTCACAAGAATTTTTGGGACATACACAAGGTGAATTATACTATGCAAGCATTCACCGTAAATACCATGCCACCATATTATGCTCAATTTGATAGATAAATATTTCTTATGACGTTATGATTCATTACTGCCAGGAGTTCTCGACTATTAATCTTTTATGATGTCCAGAAGGCTGTGCTTTAAGTGAGTCGACGCGCTGAACAAATCTTTAAGTATTGTTTAAGAAAAAAAAATTCATTTGTCGATACAAACGAGATAAATCGCAAATATGTAAACTGAGAATATGAGATGCACATTATAAAAGCACTGTTTCATGCGCAGTTCTGCAGTCAATTACAACTTTAGTCTGTGGAAGTCTTAACCAGCCAGTCGGCTTTTGAAAGTGAAGTGAACATGTTATTCGCAAATTTCGCTTACGATTCAAACTATTCTGACGAGTATTTGAAATCTTCAAAACGTTCCGGTGACATACAGCTGCGACGAAATTAGTAAACTACAAAGAAACTTTAGTTTTCGGGATCTGATATTTCTGAGGCCAAAAGAGTAAGGGAATGTCCGGATACATCGACTATTCTTTTACCGAAATTCACATTGCTGACACCATCAAGCCTGGTAGGAAGTGCTAGAATATGTACATGAATAGGGAAATAAAACTTATGAGAAATTGTATCAGCTTGAAATAATATTTCTTTATCTTTTCATATAAGATCTTATATTTGCACTGTCCTTGGCTTGTAATATGAAGTTATTAGTTCGATATTTATTTTTTCCCTTTATTTGTCATTGAAATAGGAATTCTTATTACAATACTTTGTCAAACGGGCTACAGACCACGTGCGAGTTTTCCATACTCTGTTTACGATCAACACTAATATTACCACGGTCTTGGGAAGTTTAATAAAAAGTATTCAACACGTTGAAATGATGAATTACACATTACTGTTTCTTTTTTTCTGAGCACGATCAGTTAAGCACGGGTAAGCTCGACACAGACCTCGCGATTAGTGTCCGCCATGACACAAAGAGGAAAAATGGGGAAAGATTTCACATTCCTCAAAAGAGCTGTGATATTTTGGAAGCTCGTCAAGAAGGAAAGTTTGTGGTTTCAATTTCTAATTTATTTGTTCAGGAAAATTGGGAAACAAATTCTATTTACTACAGGCTGGAAACTCATAACCGACATTTTACATGTGAAATAAATATACGCGTTTCTATATATCATGTGTCCAAAACAAGTACTTTTTGTAAAACAAGTTTATTTACAATTTCCAATAGTACAGAATAACTGTTCACAAGCGTCACAAATTATCCGCGAGATTTACCAAGACTTGCCAAAATTACCATAAACCAATGAGATGTCTAATTAACAAAGCAGAAGTCACTATTACCAAAATCCAGGGGGGAAAGTCCGTTACTCAGTCTGATCACGTAGTCACTTGGTCCTCGCACTTCAACACTCACTACACACAGGAAGACGCCAACTGCCTCGGCGCTCGCCGCGCGCCGTCTTATACCCTCTGGGCGGAGGGCTCGCTGACTGGCCTCGCCATGCGGCCGGCGACGCGCTCTGTCGCGTCCAGCGAAGCGAGACGGTTCGGTGCGCCCGCTCCTAACGCAGTCTGGTGAGCGGCGCACGAATCTACTTGCGGTGCCGCTGTCCCTTCGCTGGCACCCTGTGGCGGCTCTTTTAAAGGTGCGCGGGTGACTACTGCACATTATGCACTGGAACTCAAGACCGTTCAAGTTCTATTACCTTGTAAGTGAGTTCTGTAATAGCGGGGTTCTAACTGAATTACAATTTCACTACTTTGCCTTTAATTCGTGCTTGCCAATTCGGCGCTCCAGGTGGTTCAGTGGCAGCAATGCGTTTGCGTGTGCAGCGTCGCCGACGAGCAGGTCCTGGAGTTTCAGACCGTCGATGGCGGATTTCTACTTTCTCCCTACGGAGTAGAGAAACAGTTATGGAATACCGAGGGAAAAGAACGCCAATTATTGGCAGACAACACTTGTGACAGGGCCCTGGTAACGAAAAAGTGGATAAATCCAGTTGCCAAGATTTATTTAGAAAAATTCCTCTATCACGTGATGAAGTCAGAATCCATTTTTGTGCGTTTCTGATGCCCCAAAAAATAGATATCTGTCCGTCTGTGAACAACGCTAGTATCTAAACCGTTCATCCGATTTCCTCCAAAATTGATATTACTTAATTGATCTGGCTGATATTGCGGCTCATTGAATTTTAAAGCGATATTTTAATTTTGGGGACAACTTTACATGGAACCCCTGGCACACGTAGCAAATGTTCAAACAAATGGCTCCATCGCTTTAATTAAATTTTGTTGTTGAATAGTGTGGAGAACGTTTAAGATAATGGTATAAATCTCAAGTTCGTTGAAAACTCTAATTGTTTGAAAATAGCAAAAGTTCAAAACGTTTTCGGCATCTTCCTGCAAATAAAATATTAAAGCTAGAGATATGTCTCCTCATAAAACCTGTTCCTCAATGATAAGTATTGAAATAAGGTCAATAATTCGAAAATTTGAGTCCTTTTCGCGTACTTTTGCGTGAAAATAGGGGGAGGAATTTCGTGCTGTTTTAGAACTACTAGTTTACATTAATTTCATAGCTGCGAAATCGAATTAGACCGCTGTCTCGAGGAGAATTCTACTGATCGACTGTTCTGATTGTTAGTTTTTTATGGTTTCTCCGATAAATGCCAAGTATATGTCGGAGCAGAACCTTAACGAAAGAGCCACGGACTGTGCCAGATCTTTCCTTCGTCACCCTTAACACCACCTGCCTCCTACAGACACACTTACGCGCAATGCCCTACAACACGTATGGAGAACCGTCCGGGATCTAGGGCTTGAACGGAGGATTCCCGCTAGTGAAGATACAGGGATGGAGAACCTCAATCTACCGTGTAGTTCCAGGGGAAAAAGAACACTTACACATAACATGTCTTACTTTTACGTAACCCAACGTATTCAAGGCGCCTGGAAACGCTTGACTTCAGTCATAGTCATTTTTACATCATACTGCAAGTGATAATTAAATGCTATTTTTTTAGTAATACAGACAATGTCAAACTGCTTTACCATCTCTAGAAGAAAAAGAAGCCATGGCGACATAATCATTGCAGAAAGTGGCTGGCATGTTGACGGTGTGCCCAGAGGTCGCCGGGGGGAGGGGAGGGGAGGGGAGCTGGGCGCGAGTCCGCGGCGTTTGCTAGGGCAGCGCTCCCGTGACGTCAACTCAGAAGGCGG